CAGACTCTGGGTTGCTTGGTCCTCAGGGGTCAAGTTGTCCTGTTGAAGACCCTTTCGCAGGAGTTCCCAGAGTGGGCAGGCAGAAGTTGGGCCTAAGGCAGGGGCTGAAGCAGCTCACCTCTGCACTCTCTGCACTCTGTGGGGGCCAGAATAGTCCAGAGATCTCAGCAGAGTCAGGATCCCAGGGTCCTCAGGGACTGATTCAGTCTGCCTGTAGATCACTGGGCAGGATTTGACAGGGTGGGCAGGCAGAAATTGGGCCCAAGACACTGACTTTTTAAAAAATTATAATATGATTGCAACGTGTCTTCCTTTCCCTTTCCTTTCTCCAATGTTTTTTTCCTTTAATCTTTTCCTTTAATTGTTTTCCTTTAATTGTTTTTAATCTTTTCCTTTAATTGTTTTTATACATACACCCCCTCATCAGTCTGTGTTGTAAGGCCTGTGAAAGACCCCTGGAAGCTCAGGTTCCCAGGATCTCAGTCCAGGAACTCGGCTACCCCAATCACCATGCGGAAGTGAAAGCTTGATCCAAACTGCACGAGGCTTTATTGTAGTTGTTTAACGAGCTACCCCCATGTTAGCTCGGGTCTTTCATCCACCTGCATTACAATGCTTCTCTCAGGTTTGGGTAAGGGAATCTGAGGATTCAGTAAAGACAAGACAGTGGGTCATTCTTGCAAGCAGAATGCCATTTATTTCAAAGGGGAGTAGACTTATATACCATAACAGCCACAGTGGAAAAATGCTCAGGTCAAGGTTCATGCCCTCAACCACCCCCCCACCTCAATGGGTGGATAGTTTGCATTCTTGTATACATGCCTAGGCAGAAGGAGGGAACAAGGAAGTAAACACCTAGTCATGAGGCAGTATTCGGACCTCAAGGTCACAATGGGTCACATGTAGTCACGAGATGATCAGCAGACCCCAAAAGGGTCCCAACAAGTCTGCATAAAGTTACTTGTATTATATGATTTTAGGGCTGCCCACTTGGTATTGGCTAACCAATTGGAGGGCCCTTCCCTGTGAAAGACTATTTCCCCTGCTCTCAGCATTCTCTAGTTGCCTGTAGGTTTTTGTCTAGGATTTAGGTCTCATGAGCTTCCATCCTTTCATCTTAGCATGTCTATTGGTATTGTCACTGTTCAGGTCTTGTTTAGACAGCCATGTTGGTGAGATTTTGTGGGTGTAGCTTCTTTGGAATTTCTAGGATACATAATTCACAGCAAACATCTTGTTTCTCTAACTCTTATTGAAAGACCCCCAGAGGCTCAGGCCCCCAGGATCTCAGCCCAGGACCACGGTCACCCCAATCACCAGGCAGAGTTGAAAGCTTGATGCAAACTGCATGAGGCTTTATTGTAGTTGTTTAATGAGCTAACAACATGTTAGCTCGGGTCTTTTATCCACCTGCCATGGCAGATGGCTAGGAAAGATGCTGCAAAGTGTCTGCATAGAGATCTTATAGGGCAGCATAAGGGGAGTGTCTAGGGGTACGCAGGCTCAGGATTGGTGTGCCTCCAGGCTTGGAGAGCTTGCCCTGTGTTGATTGGTTAACTGGTTGTTATGGCCCATAGGCCCTCCCGGGGTGGTTGCTATGCTCTGCGCGTCATTGCTGTGCACTTGTTCGAAAAGCACACCCAGAGCAGTAAAGCATAGCACCACCAGCTAACTTCTGATTGGTTCCTTGCCACAAGGCAGGCATCTTACCTCCTAGTGACCAAGACAAGGTCAGGCAAGTACGTGTTCAGCTGTTATGGCTGCCGAAATGGGGAGCTGGTCCCTTCATTATAATCTTTCCACCCCCTCTTCCTCAATAGTCTCTGAGCCTTAGATGCAGGAATTGTGTTGCAGATGTATCAATTGGAACTGGATGCCACATGATCTCTCTTTCTTTGCACCTTGGCCAGTTGTGTTTTTCTGTAACAGTGTCCATCTCTTGCAAAGAGAAGTTTCTTTGATGAGGAGTGAGAACTACACTTAGGGATTATGCTGTTTTAGTAAAGTAGTGGCTGTAGGATATCCTCCAAGATCCATGACTTCTGTAGTCCAAGGAGGCTCACTAGTTTTCCAGTACCAGGCATCATTTCTCTCTTGTTGAGCAGGTATTAAGACCCTTTAGAGAGCTGTTGGTAACCACCAAGGTATGCATGCCACCATTGCACCCTTCATCATGCCATGCTCATTGTTGTGGTTTCTGATTCCTTTTTAACTGTGTCTCATGTCCTAGTCAAGTTCCTGAACGTCATTCATCATGCTGCACAGGGTCCAAGGAAGAAATATTCAGAGACACAGACTGAATCCCAAGAAATTGGATGGGACTCAAGTCCCTTGGTGAGTATGGCTCCCTCACTTAGTGGTACCTGGGAGCCAGTGGCAGCCAAGAGGACAGGTTGAGGAGGCAGTCTCTCCTCGGTTTGAATTCTGGGTTACATTCTTTAGTTGTGTGACATCGGGCAAGTCACTGAGTTGTTTTGTGACTTGGTTTCATATTCATCATATGGAAATACTATAGTACCTATCTCCCAGGGTTTTTAAGTGCAAGAAAGGTGTAAGACTATAAAGAGAATAGTAAAAGAAAGATAAGGAGAAATAACAAGAATATAAAGAACATTTGTAAGGTGCCTAGAACTGAGCCTGTCACAGAGACACTACACTTCTCAATAAACATGGGGTGGGCTGTTGTAATATGGATGGGAACAATAGGAAGAGGGGGTTTAGAGCCCCGCTGAGCCCCAAGTCAAGTGCAGACCTTGGTTCCTTGGCTTGATAACCCATTCTCTTCACCAACTAAGAGATTTTCAAGCATCCTCCACTCCCAAGATCTCTCCACATCCCATGGCCCCCGTCCACCATTCTAAGGGCTGGCGTCTTACCCATTATACAGTTGGAGAAGCAAAAACCATTCAAAGTAAAAAGAGAGAGGTGAGAGAGAAATTTAGTGAACATGTGTGAGAGAAGGTGTTATCCCATGACATTGATGAAAATGGATAATAAACCAGTCATTTCATTATTGCTTAAAAATGCAAGGAAGATATTCAGATGAGAAAATGGTGCTGTGGGTAGTAGCCCAAGACTGGGATCTGCAGGGTACAGAGATTGGGCTGAACTCTGAAGGCCATGTGGACAAATGAGAACATGGCACTAAGGACCAAGATATGGGGGTCAACAGACAAAGAATGTTAAACAGGAAGCTTCAGGGATGAGGGGTACTCGGGCTAACCTAATCTAAGGGAATCATTGCTGAAGGCAGAAAATGTGACTAGACTTCACACATGGGGTAGTGGAGACAGAGGAGCCTGCTGGAATTTGGAGAGTGAGAACATACTACTAAGGACAGTGATTCTTGTTAGCAGACTTAGCAGGACTTTTGCTAAAAGTGGACAAGGCAGGGATGGAGATGGAGGCTCAGAGAGACAGATCTAATTAAATAGAGCACAGACCAGCCTGAGCAGTTCGGTCAATGAGAGAATCTTATCCACACAGGAGAAGTAAGGTTTGAAAGACAGAAAATAGTGGCAAAGGTAGAAACTGGGTTAATTAGATAACAGATTAATATAGAAAATTATTACAAAGCACAAATTATTTAACTCAGCATTCCTCCCCTTTTAGAGAAGTTTATTATAGATTCATAGATGGCTACTTACGAGAAAGAAAGCCAGCCTGTTTGCATAAAATGGGATTTATGTGTCACAGTGCTCACTTAAGCTCCATACTCCTTCAACAAACACACACTTTTTCCAGGTAGCCCTTGCTAGGTGCTATCCACTAGTAGCTTGGCTACAGTAATACATGTGCAGCCTCTCCCCCCATGAGCTAGTCTCCAGGGGTGGTGAGTCCTTAGGCAAGGCCTCCTTCAGGCAGCAGGGAGGGGACTGCCTCAGCTTTGACACGTCACTGTCCTTCAGTTTGGGGATGTAAATGTTCACATATCCGCGTCATAGCACAGGGCTTTGCAAGGAAAAGCAGCTTCAGACCCAGCTCTACAACAGGTAAGCCCTGCTCTCCTCCCGGCCCTGACAGACTGCCTTCCGATCCTGCCCCTCCCCTTTAGATCAATTTCCTACGCCAGGACAAGAGGCTGAACCACTTCAAGGTCTATCATGACATCACTCTTTACAAGGCTAAACTGTGGAGCTTGGGGGAAGATGATCATCAGAAGTAGCATTCTCTCCATGGAGTGAGTCTGCACACTGAATTCCCAAGGCGTGCGTTGCCCAGACAAATAAATGCTGTTTCTGTTAAAAGTTACACAGGGCATTTTTCATTGGTCATCACG